TGTGAGTGGAAAACGCACGCGGCTGTGCGAGGGAAGGAGGATCTTTTGTTGCTACCTTTGTGTCAATCACAATATATATATATAGTTATTTATTTATATATATATATTTGTATATCCAGACGGGTTTAGGTCTAGGTAGGACAGTGGTACGACATGCATAATCTCAATTCATCTCAAAAAATCATGCGGTGTTGCGATGTCATTTCAGGACATTTAGCGCGGCACGGACAAGTCCTCATCACACTCATGATCTCTTATCATCACGCAGATCTTCAGATGTATCTCAAGGGGGGGTTCGGGTGTCCTGTTGCGCACATTAAGATGTCTTTCAAAAAACTGTCTGGTGTTTAATTGAAACATGAGACGAATCATAAGAATTATATACATGTTTTTAGTCAGCAAAATGTGTTTGTTCGCGAACTCCTGTGGTTTTGGAACAACTAAAACATTCTATTTTACAATATGGACATGTTCATGTTCACCCTTCCGTTTCACTTGTGGTCAATGTTTCAAGGGTGAGTGTAGTGGGCACAGGCTTGATAAACGGCTGCTTTCGGACAGAATTTGGTATTGCGGTATTTGCAGCACTTTTCTGGTTTCCTTCAGAAGTTTACGACGCTACGCTGGCCACGTGGGGCGGGGAGGGGTGGTGTTGAAGTTCTTTTGAAGTTGCAAACAAAGTGGATGCTACGGTGTTGACGTTCGTGTAAAGTTGTAAACTCACTTGACGCTATGCAGTGAAAGCTGGATCAAAGGTGGGCTGATGTCAAGCGGTGGGTACCGAAGCCAATCACTGCTTGGGTACAAAGAAGAAGCAAATGGTCTACTGTGCTGCTATGTGTACCAGTGGTGGCTGTGGACTTCATGTAAAGATGTCAGTGAACGTAGACAGAAGCTCTACCAACAGTGGGCAGAAGAAGGCAAATGAAGAAGGGCAATGCTTGAAATGACTCGCTCTCAAGGGAACCCGGCGGGATATTATATATATATATATATATGTATGATTAGTATATGTTTTGCTCAGGCTCATCTGTCAAGAGCCTTGCAGGGTCACAGTCTGTGCAGTGTTGCTTGAGCCCATCTTGGAGAGTGCTTTCAAAATCTTGCAAACCTGTTTCACTAGACTAGGAGTTGTCCTTGACCTTTGGTTTACTTCGTGTGGTACGCAAGGTACAGCCAAGATTCCAATTACCAGTAAAAGGCTTTGTACTTGAAGTGATGTACAGGAAAAGAGGACATGGGTACGAAAACAAATTGATCATTGACCTCTAATACTCCTCTGAGGCTTGGATTCCATGATTCTCAGTCTGAAATGACCATGCTAAAGGGATGATCCCGGCGGTCTCTGGGCATCGAATTCTGAGAGCTGCGGCTGCCACCAGCACCGTGCTGTGCCTCACCGGTCGAACCGCGACGCAAGGCGCCGCTGGATTTGCGTCCACCAAAAGAGCCGAAGGTTCGTTATGTGGTGTCAGTACAGTTGACAAGTGCTGATGCTAGGTCTTGGTGTACCACACCCTTCGTCACACTGCATATATTCAACATTGTCCAAACAGAAATGGCTTTGCTCCTGCTCGCACATGACATGAAGCCACCCCACAAGTAATTTGTGTTTGTAAGAGAATCTCGCCATGAGTCCTCTTTGAAGAGGACATATCAAGGCATGAGTAGTTAAGTAGTGATCTGAACGACAAATCAACGATTGTAACCCTAAAAATGTAGACTGCAAGGGTCTGGATATTGCCTTCACATGCATTTAGGGCCACCGACTCTTTTTCTGGACATGCTGGAGCAAATACTGTACTGAACTTGCCACGTCAAAGCTTGATTCCAAGCGTTATTGACACAAAAGAGTGCCCCAGCCAGCTGCTGCGTCTGTCTTCCACATTGTCACTTCCCAAGCAGAATGACAGGAAGCCGTTCACTTTGAAGGATCATAAGCTGTGCATCGAGTTGCAGGAGCGAGGGCCGGTCCTGCTCTCCATAGCACATGTGGCCCGATCATAGTGGCTCATCAGTGGGCCATTCAAACGATAAAGGTGGACTCACTCTGGTCATGAGGTCCACCCACATCCTTGCACCCACCCTTGGAGGGATCCTCAGAAGCAAACGCAGCCTCAAGGGCAGCCATGCTCCTTGGGAAGCCTCTCTTCTCAACAAAGTCAGCCTTGCAAAACTTCAAATAGTCATGGTCTTTCAGCAGGCAAGTCTGCTGAATTGTTTTAATACGCTTCTGGACAGACCACGTGCAGCCACCAACCCAAGCATCCTTCGTTGGTGATTGGCCAGGTGGGCAATGACCAGCCTTGGGTAGCCCCAGCCAAAAGCCGATAGGACTTGTCGCTGCACACCTGCCCTCACCATCGCCCACAAAACCAGGCCTTTCTTTTCCCACCAAGCGCGGATCTCCACCAGCACAAAAAGGGCCTGGAGGTTGAGTGTCTGGGTAGCCGTTACACAAACCATACTGCCCAAAGGCCGGAGACACTTGAAGAGTGTAGCGTGAGATCAAGCTGTAGTTGTGATCGATGAAAGAGGTCGTCTGGCTTCGCAAGCGATCCATACAAATGAAGAGAGCATCTCCCGCAAGGTCTGCCACATTTTGATCCTCAAGGTTGTAGTCAGCAGCGGACAAACCGGGGTGGAAAACATAAGCGTCCATCTGAACGGGTTCAAGACCACGGCCATTCTCACAAGCAGGAGCCAGGCTTCCACATATGGAAGGCTTGCTGAAGAGAAATTGCGGCACCTCGCTCCCCAGATTCAATGGACCAAAGCGATAGGTGGTGTTGAATTTCCTGCCACCTGTGCTGCTCTTCAAGAAAATGCTCATGTTCAGCTCAACCGGAAAGTCACCACTTGCACATAAAGTCATGGATTGGTTCTGGGCATGAAGATGCCACAAGGAGCACTGCCTCCCGTCCACCTGATGTTGCCCTCCATATTCTGAAAGAAGCGAATTGGCTGCCCAAGAGAAGAGATCGGAGAATCTTTGCACCCTCAACATGGCCAGCTGACGGCATACTGGAAGACTGCCACCTGTGACATCATATGACGCGTTGGCCAAAGTCAACGTGGTCATATTGGTCACCCACCCTTCGACCAAGTCAAAAGGTCGCATTGTTTCTACTCTCATTGCCTTCTGGTCAGCATCCTGCGCAAACAAGCCAGAGCCTTGCGAGGGGAATCCTAGATCGCCGGACATGAATGTAATGTTCGAAGAGAAGCGGTGCGGCACGCTTGGACGTGAAGGCTCATCTGGCGACTGCAAAGCTTCTGTTCGTCTCCCCAACGCTTCTTGAGCCGCTCTAACAAAGTCTCCTGCTTCTTGCAACACCTGTCGTACTTCATAGCCTGGGTACTGCTCAGCACGGAATGCAGGACTTGCCAATGTCAGCAGCAGTTGTAGGGACCAAGTACTGAAGCATAGATGCGTGCGCATGATTGCCATTGTGACACGAGATTGATTGTGTGCGCACAAATGTAACTACAAACAAGCCTTGAGCCAAAAATAAGGGAAACCGCCTGGCCTTACCCCTACCTTTTATTCAACTGAGGTATTGTGCGCCTGGGGCTGCCCAGGGCCAATTTCATGTGCAGCTCCTCTAAAGGACAAAGGTTTCAAGTTCTATTCTATTGGATATATATATATATATAATTGGTTTAATCACACAATTGGCTCAGCAGCTTCAAGAGCTTCTTTCTGTGGCCTTCAAACATGGCTGAAATCGATCCTGCGAAAAACCGTGGGGATCCCGCACCTCAGGAGCCCTTCACTCGGTGAGAGCACCGCCTGGCAAACCTGGCACCGAAACGAAGGCGAAGCCACTGGGTAGTACCGACTAGCTCATGGGCTCTCGTAAATCATGGAACATCGAAACCGAAGGGTCAACCTTATTTCTATTTATATATGTCTTATGCTTCTTGCAGAGCATGGAAGAACGTTCAAATAAGCATGTTGCGTGGGAGTTGGCTCTAGTCAGCGGTTTCTTTCTATCCCCGCTTTTTACGCGAAGCAATCATGCACGCCCTGTTTAGCTGCTTTCAGCATAAATGACAACCACCTGCGCCGAGTCCAAACCCCAAGTTTATGTCTTCGAACGAACGCGACATATAGCAGCATGTCATCAGACCCAGGACATCCCAAGCCTGTGTGGCCACCTCCTTGTCCAGGGCGCAGAAGGGATCGTCCAAAACGACCAAAGGCACACGCCTGTCGGCATCAACCTTTACATGCAAGATACCACTTGCTGAGCAATGCTGATCACAAAGGGAATGAGCCATGCACCAGTGCCTGGCTTCTTGTTCCAAGGCTGCACGATAGACCGCCCGAGCGAGGCCTCAGGCAGAGGATGCTTTCGATGGACGATGGGTTAGCCATGCAAAGCCAAGCGGCCAGGCTCCTGTGGTTTTGGAGTCTCACAGCTTGAATCCAATCTCCAGAACGCCAAGGTGAAACCAAAGACCGACACCCCAAAGCTCTTCCCTAGCGGCGGCTGGGGTGGCTGGGGCTGTGGCCCACTCGTGCACGTTGTCCGCCAGAGATCGTGGAGCCGCCTGGCGAGGCACAACTTTGGACAACCATCACAGCCAAAGTAATTACGTATAATTCAGTATGTGGGTGAGTGGATGAGATCAAAAACACAAGGACTCGCTCCTCAGAAACTGTCCTCGTCTCCAATGACTTCATGCATCAATCGTTTAGGGACTACACCTTGGGCTACAAGTACGTAGCTTCCCAAACCGTAGCAATCAGCAGCGCATTTTCTAGATGCTTTGGTTTAGAACATGGCGAACGGGTAGCTTGGTTAAACCTGCTAGTTTCTATAAGTCCAGAACTCGTGCGCGCCTGCTGCAATTTCAGTCCTTGGAATTCATCCGGCCAGGGCTGTGTGACTCAAATGTATTTCACCATTTACTTGTGAAGAAAACAAGCACCCAAACCTGGGTGGTTGACAAAATTCTCCGAGCTCCCTGGCATGTCTCCGCAAGGCATCGTCTGTAGGTCTAGTCTTAGTGCACAGGCCTGTGGCAGTTGACAACAACTCACATGATTGATCCTGTGTGGCAGTGGGCTGGACATCGGTTGTCCGAATTGGGAATCTAGATTGAATTCTCCAAAAAATAAGGGTCGACATCCATGTGGATACAATTCATATGGTCCATCGCACTTGTGGAAGAAACATGCACCATGTTTCATATATCCCCCCCACTGCAATGCTTTGTCTTACCGTTGCCTCCAGGACCCCATCGTAGATGGCTTGGTGCATCTCCAAGCCAAACAACACATTGGAGCCTCAGAAGCCAAACAATATCAATATCAACTTTGTCCAAGAGGGGTGAAGGACTTAGACCAGGAGCAAGGACGCTACTAGTAGCTCGTGGCATTACTACTAGTAACAAGAAGCTACTAGGAACAAGGGCATTCTACTAGGAGCAAGGACGCTACTAGGCAAGATTCGAAGTTCCTTTCAGCCATGGTCAGTGAGTCCTAAGAGCACAAATAGCTCAGAAATCAAGAGAGCCCTGGCTTCTACCAGAATGCACATGTCAGCCTTCAATCAGCTACATCCACTCACCAGTTACATCAGCCATCTCTTCGCACCCCACTCCATCCTCCCACTTCCCTCGGGGGCCAACGCACACTACCGGCAAAGAGCCACGGCTCCTGGTCTGGGGGGGTCAGACTAATCGGATGACACCAGCGGTTCTGCCCAGGCAGAAGTTCTTCCATTTCAACGCAACCTTGACTTGACTCGCAATGATTGAGTCTTCAGCCAGTTGCTCAATCGCGAGATAACATGAACAGTGTGATCGCAGTTCTTTCTGGTATGGAAGATGGAGCATTCTTGCTCCATCTACTGCTTGCCATTCATTGCTCCTGTGGTGCCAAGGCAACACTGCGGCCTCCAATGGTGCAGGCCTGCGATCGCTTAGAAAGGCTACCCTCCCAGACGTGGCAGGTTCAAGACATGGCAAAAAGTCACTATATAACTATATAAAGGCTTTAAGGGGATGTTTGCTGGGATTATATATATATATCAACTTGGCACAATGCCATTACTGACTATGTGAAACTACTCAACTATATAATATATATTCATTGAAAAGAGTAAGGCATCTGAAATGGATTGCCCGGCATGGCGAAGCCGCAAAGCCTCAAGCAAAATGTGCCGGGCGCTGATGGCAGTCTCCGGCACAACCTCAGAAGACAGGAAACCAACACATTGATCATTGAAGTCGAACTGCCAAAGCACCAGGTGGCAGGTGCGGTTTTAGAATCGCATTTCAGGTTGAAGGGTGTACTTCCAACATCCGGGTGTCCTATATAATGTTTCCTACTCAGGTTTGCACTTTTACCATGGGCATGTGGTGGCACCCGGCCCATTTTATGAACAAGTGCATCGCTACAAGGGCATCGCTTCTAGTAACAAGGGCATCGCTATTAGTAGCTAGAAGATACTAGTAGCTTCTTGTTACTAGTAACTATGCCCTTGTTACTGGTAGCATCGCTATTCGCCCTCCTTCGCCCTGCTTCGCTGGTCCCAGGCACTGGTGCTTGGCCGCCAATCGGCGCGCTCGAGCCGCTGAAGTGCCCAGACTGTGGAGGGAAGCTTTCGATTTTCGATACAGGTCGCCGAAGACCCAAAGGGGCCTTGATGTGGATGCAGTACAACTTGTACTAGTATACAATTGTACAACTGATTATGTTTGATACAACATGATACAACATGTTTCTGTACATTGCCCAGAATCTCTTGAATTCCTCCTGCTGAATTTTGCCCGTTTTGACTGGGCTGCCCCAGTCAAAACCAAATGCCAACTAACTATGCAGGGATAGGTATGCCGTGAAACCACCAAGCTTTGCATACGGTAGTTGAGTGTCCAGATTTATCAGAATTGAAAGCCGGTTAAAGGTGAGGATTGAAATGCACTGAGTGGAAACTTGCTTCATTATGTTGCTTGTTTTGCGGAACCCCAACAGTTTGAGTTGACTGAGTTACGAGTAGCTGTGTACTTCCAGGTTCCTGGAGCTATCCAAGCAGCTTGGTTCTCAGAATATCTCAAGATTGAACTTCATTGACTAAACATGACCAAATCACACTGATCTCTGGACTTCACAACACCCGTTAAGCGTGTTGCGCAATTGTCAAAGGCTGTGAGTGGGTTTCAGCCACTTATATGAGCTCTCTTTCAATCTGCTTGGTTGGGCACTCGCACCATCTGCTTTCATCGACACCGCTACGACAACGAGAACTTGCCCCGCCTTCATCGACATTTCGCCTCGGGGTGCGACGCGCGACGTCCATCGCCGGTGAACCACCCGAACGTGACTTCGAAGTCGCCTCTATCCATCTCTCTCCCTCTTCATCTGCTTCAGACTGTGCGGGTCAGCTACTGGAGTTCGCCACCCAAAGGCATTGTGAGACTTTTAGATGAGACACCATAGGCCAAGCTAAATAGGTCTGTGTCTGTAGATGGCCTGAGATAAAATACTGTCACACTAGTGTGGCCATACCTCTACCAACTGACCTGTATCACCAGAATTCCCGAATTGATTCTTCCCTCCGAAGCAGGTGCAAAGCATCGGAGTGCTTGCTTAGAGTCTTCGTATGACACTACGCGCAAGGTGAGAAGCTGGCATCCTGGCCTCAAACACTTGCATCGGTGTCTCTTTTATATCAGCTCCCTTGGTTTGCAACCATGCAAAGCCCCATAGGTGCAAAAAGGGCATTATTCCTCGACTTCCGCCCACATCCCAATCTTCTCAGGTCCAAGATGCCCAAGATTGCCATCAGCAAGGAGGACTTCCCCTGACCCTGACGCTCATGGATTATCCCATCAACGAAAATCGATGGCTATCGGCCGCTCTTCCTCTGAGGTGTTAAAACTAGGGACGGCATCCCGGCATCCCTTGGCCTTCGACAATTCGTTCCTCCAAGCAACAGCAACATCTGTCCGAAAAAAATGTCAAAGCTGTGGGGAACCCGCGCACTACATAGCATATATCATCATATATATATATATAACTATATATATATACATATAACTATATATATTATATAACTATATATATATATAACTGTATAAAAAGTATATATATATATATATCAATCCCTTGAAAACTATGGATGGACAGCCACCAGCACTCCTGTGTGACCAACTCAATCGGATGGTGCCTCTTGGCTGATGATGGCCGTGGTGGACCCCGCCTGGCGCCGTGGATCTCTTTCCTAACAAAAGCTCTTTTGCAGCGATAGTGAACCTCTGTCTATACTATATATACACTCAGGGAAGAAGAGAAAACAACCCAGCAGAAGACCTGCCCAAGAGATCCAAGAGTATTCAATTCTTAGCTCTGGTTGAAGAACATCGGCTGTGGCGTTGGCCTCCACTTGCAGGTCAATGTTCTGAAGCTCGAAGAAAGGCCCCCTCAAATGGCAAGGGAAATGAATATGACATGCTGCATGCTGTAGGTGCAGATCGCCAACAAAGGCCGCTTGAAGTTTCTCGGTCAATATTTTTACGGAGAGACCTGCACGCACTCCCTCTGCTGAATATGTTTTGTTTAAACGAAAGTAGGAATTACCCCTTTTCACCTCTCTCGCGGGTCGATGCTTCAATCAAGTGTGCACCTTCAGCGCACAGTGAGAATGCTTACAGTATACCTTCCTTTGGCGATATGTATCATCTCTCACTTCCTTTCTGAGCAAACACCCCTCCTGCTTGAGCCTATCTTTGAGCCTTCCACCCCTTGGCTCCCAGACGCTTGGGCCAGCAGTGGCTCCTGTGCAGCCTGAAGTGGCCGGGGATCCTGCACCGAAGCCACCGACTACGGGGGTTCTTCCACGGAAGCCCGCCGGTGAAGCTGCCGGTGCGTTGGACGGCCCCCCACCGTTGGAAGTGATGATGAGGGTGGACTGATTTGGGAGAGAGGATGAAAGAGGCATCAACATCCGAGAACTTGATTTCATTGGAGCATGAAACACATAAATTATGACAAAGGTGTCGAATGAATACCATAATAGTTTTCTGTGCTTATTTGTTGCTGGTACTATATACTGGGTGATGGAATGGCGGCATTTTGGAGGTGCTCCAGGCCTGCCACAATTGGCCTGGCGAGCAGCTGAGATATTAATGATACAGTAATATATTCTGTTTACAACGGCATCCAGGTGATGGACGGAATCAATGGTGGACCTCAATCAAGTTGGGTGGGGAACAATTGTAATGCTTGCGCTAGCCTTTGTGATGGTTCTGGATCATAAGGCCTGTCCCTCTTGGCACAAACACTGGTGTTTTTTGCTGTGATTTATGTCAAGCCACTCATCAGGGAATTCCTGGTTGCAGGCGTGTCTCCTATCCAATGGAAACTGTGATCAAGCGTCTCCCCCCCAAACCTGTCGAGACGTAGTGAGCTCATTCTTTCGCTTCGATGTGATCAGCTCAGCTGTCGCCCCGGCCCTGCATGGCCCTGCGAAACCTGCACCTCCGCGCCGTGAGACCCGACACACTGGCACGTACAAACACACATCATCCGGCACCAAAAGGTCTCCAGGTTCTTCACGATCCGCGTGCAGCCCGAGGTCACCGAGGCCGGTCGAACTGGAAGGTCGAAGCATGTCGCATGTCGAAGGCATCCACCGAGGCCGGTCGTTTTTCCTTGGGGTCGATCGTTCGTCACATACATCCGGGCAGCGACCGTCGGTCACTCGTCCAAGGGCCGTAACCATTCAAATCCTCCGTGGAAACGAATAGACCAACCTCCATGATCGTGCCGGAGCCTTGGCGGTTGGTGCCATCCAAAAGCATTAACGCGGGGGGCTGTCAGGTTGTTTACAGGTAAGGTGCCTATGCACTGCTGGGTTGCCTACGCTGGGGGGGTTCGCAGCGTCATATGCCTTCGCAAACATTGAGTGAGCTCCAGTCTAATCTAGATTCTATCATTCAATAAACAAACGCAACTTCAGCTTAGTGGTTGCTTCTTGAATCAAACGTGGTAAACCAGTAGACACACAAGTTCTCTATAGGCTGCATGCTACACACCGTAGAACTGCAGGTACTTACAGCAGCTTCTTTACAAACATACACCATACATGAACGGACCGGGCGTGAAACACAACCCTCATCCTTGGGATGCATGCAATGCATTCCACTGGTATGGCCTCCCCAAATACCCTTCTCACTGCTCAGTTGCCAGTCGCCACGGTCTTCAAGGCCAGTGACAATCTCACCCTCCCAAAGACGGCCAACGACATTGTCACTGCGGTACCTGAATCGTGCCACCCGTGAGTCTCCAACGCTCTCTCCAAGGTGGAAGTTGCGAAGGTAAGCAAAGTCTGTATGATCAACGGAAGCTACTAGTAACAAAGCGCATCGCTACTAGTAACAAGTGCATCGCCATTACTAGCTAATTTTGCTACTAGTATCTACTAGTATAATTGCAACAAATATGTTTGGCCCTGTAACGTCGATGCCGGTTCGAAGGCAACGAGTTGGTCGAGGTTTCGTCGGTCATTTGGGACCATGTTCCCAAGTTGAGAAGTGACAGGTGCCTGCCAGACTGAACTCAAACGTGTTGTTCCCTGGACCTATCGGGCTATCAGGTCTACACCAACCTTGCCTCATTCTTGTTCTCTTCTTGTCCAGTGCGGCATTTGTTGATGAAAAGAGGGTGACAATTGGTGGAAAAAAGCAGTCTTAACCTTTCTAAGGAAATGATGCTTCTCATACCCCTGGTATCTCAAAAAAATAGTATGAATAAACAGCTGCGGTTCCCACTCCTTTAACGATCAAACTCTTAGCAAGCAAGTTACGGGTCATCTGGATCAGCGTGGACGTTCAAGAAGCCCCGCTGAGTCCGCACCACGTATCTTCGAGGCTTCTGCAACTCCTCAAATGCAGAAGCAAACCCCAGAAATGCCACGCCGAACTTGCTGAAAGTCTTTTATGAGTCCAAAACCCCATGCAAACGAGTCACCTTCCCCTCACATAACATGTTATAACTACATGATCTAAGGCATTCTCCATGCCACAACAAATCCTTGGGCTTTGATTAAGTCCACTCAAATTGCCTACGTCTCCGTGGCTTCTATGTGGTTTTCCTTGCAATCTGCTGTCATGGACCTATCCCGGCCTCTTGACGCTTGCGCAAGGATTCTGCTAAGGCTTCATCACTGGGCAGTTGCACAGGTGATTTGACTGCCGAGGTTGCAGGGGAGTAGCCAACTGGCTTGTGGAAATACATCCTCTCGAGACTGTGCTCACGCTGAGGTGTCAATCTAACCATATCCAACCTATGAAAAACTTTGACGTACCAAGAAGTCCTTCAACATCCCAATGTAGCAAAAAGGTTCGAAACAAGCGAGACCTGTTAGACAACAGTGTATTTATTCATGACTCATATGACATATAACTATAATTATACAATTATACATACAACCCGCGCTGAAACCGGAAGCTTTCCATGCTTCCCACAGTCAAAGAAGTGATCATAACGTCTAGGGAACAAAGCTTCCCTGTACCTCTTTGCATGCCTCAAACTTCATCGTCCCAATCCTACCAGAGTAGGCTCCAGTCATGGCCCTTCCCTGCTCCAGAAGTGCCAGGAAGTGGCATGAACTCGCCAAAAGAAGTCCCAGGAGGGCGTTGCAGGGCCCTCGACCTCCACGCTTCACCATGGGCAGCAGGTGACGGGACGACCGACTTGAGCCAACTTCAGGCCCGCAGACTGGTGCCACGCGGGCGAAATAAGGGGATGAGCCCCCAATAGAGAGGTTCCCAACTGGATCCAGCCACACTCATTCCTTGCGAGTCGCATCAGTCAGTTTCTTTTTGGTTGCTCTTCTTCTAATCCAAGGTCTCATAGACCAGGATGCCCGACCATCACTGGACCTAGAAGCCTAGCATCTGCCATCGCTAGAACAGACTTGACTTGAATCCGTTTGACCAGTCTTTTCCGATGGTTTTTGAGGTGCAAACGTGGTTCTCACCGGTTCTCACATGTCCCATCCTCTGAAGAAGCTGTGGCCGCCACCCATTGGAAGCTGCAATCTGCGCATCCGTTGGGCAGGGGCACAGGGTGCTTGGCACGTCCCAGACGTTCGATTCTCTAGTTAGCCAGGCTTTCCAAAACACTTATATCGGAGATTGGATGGATGGCCGCTGACTTGACAGAGTGCAAGCAAACCGTTTGCCCGAGTTAGTAAGCTCCATAGAATGTCTTTCTTCAGAACTTGATACCAGTTGAACCCTCCCTCATAGCTTCAAAGCTTGACTAACTGACTAACTATAGCGGCGGCGGACTAGATAGAAATATGTTTGACTCGGGGCAACATTGATTTTTTGACTTCTTGATTTTTTTCTATCTTTAATTCGCGTGGTATTTACAGTGTTTTGAGAAATGTA